ACTACACTATAGCCATGCAAGGCAAAGCATATATGACCAAGACTACTCAAAACAGAGTTAAAGCATGGCAAAATATGAGCAAAAGCATGCTGAGATGGACCTAATACAAGCTAGAATGATAGACTAACTCATTAAGCATGTTAAGCTAGTAAGCATGATTACACTACAAGTGTGAGAAGCAAGCAACAAGTGACTGAACCAGCCAAAAACAGAGCTAAAGCAGGTCAAAAAAGTCATAAAAACATGTTGAGATCAAACCATGAGATGGTAGAAAAACATGCTCACATGTTAGGCCATCAACATATGCAAAAAAGCACAAGGAAGGAAGGCCACCCCCTCCTATTTTGGACCTCAAAACAAAGTTTTTATCACTGAAAAACCTCTGAGTTTCAGTGGTTAAAAGGCTAAAAGAGTTGGTTTGAAAGGTGATGAAAGATGGCACAAAAAAAGTTTCACAAGCCACAGAGCCAAGCCAAAGGGCCAAAAGGGGGGACAACCCCTTAACTCACAACGGTGGTGGCCTCATAGCTGAAATCCAAGTGTACAAACGGATAGGCCTAATTTAGCGAGGGATGCTCGACTCTCTCTTAACGGTTCATGCCCATCTTCTTCCCCAACCTGGTTTCTTCCATATCCTCTTATTTTCCTCAAATCCAAACCTCTAAACAAGATGTTTTAAAGATTTTTTCAAAGAGTTCACCTCTCTTTCATTCATTTCTACTTTGTCCTTGCTCGGTTTACCGAAAAGCGCAACATTTAACAAAATGTGAGCCTCGGAATATCGTAGGAACTTTTTCAAAAACTATTTTGAAAAAGAGGGTTTTAAGGTCTAAAATATTTTGGTCAAAATTGTTTTAGTCCAAAAATGGGGTGTAAGGTTGGGATTTGATGCTCTTTTTGTCGAAGAAATCGAACCTTTGCACTACACACCTCATCACCACGTAAACAATCAGTAGCGCCCAAGTCTTAAGGGTGGTCAAAAATATGGTGTCTACACTCCTCATAACCTACTTTAGCTTAGCCCAATTTAAATTCATAAATATGGATTAGGCTCTAATCCCCTAAGCCATTATTTACTTGTAACGTTATAATTTAATGAATCAGACAAGTCTAGTTCATATATTCTCATATCTGTCATGCAAAGTATAGTTCATATGGCACATAACTCACACATAGGAGCATACAAGGCAAGACAATCACATAAAAACACATAAATAAGATAAGCCACAGAAGTAGCTGTTAATTATGAAAGTGGCTGTTACACTTTTGACAACGCCTTCTGGGATAAGTTTTTGTGTCCCACTGCTAAGGAGAAGTTGAGGGAGCAGTTTTTGAAACTCAAGCAGCTTAACATGCCAATAGCTGAGTTTGAGGTAGCTTTTACTAACCTCTTGAGGTTTGCACCGAAACTTATAGCGATGAAGGAACGCTGTTGCATTGAGCTTGAGAAGAGGTTGAGGATTGGCTTCTTTTTCAAGGTGGCCGAGTCTATGATTACGGATTACAGTCGCCTTGTGGAGTCGACAGCTCATCTTGAGACTGTGATCCAGTTAGAGGAGGAGTGAATGAGGGGCTTTAGACAGAAGAGTCAGGAGGTTCAGGGGGAGGCTCGAGACAACATGAGACAGAGGGGTTTTATCCCATAGCAGTCCCAGAGAGCACAGTCTAGATCCATCTTCCTGGTACCGAGTTCAAGTTCGGGGAGAGGTAGTCAGAGTGGGATCACTTGCTTTAAGTATGGTCAACTAGGCCATAAGTCTTCAGTTTGGCCACAGAGAGGATGAGGGCAGCAATTTTCAACGTTTGGGGCTCGTTCTTAGAGCCAGAGTCAGTGGAGATGGCAGTCGCTAACCTGTTATTAGTGTGGGCAGTCAGGGCACTTGATGGGGTTTTGCCCTCAGTCTGGTGCGTTTGGTTCAAGGCAGGCACATAGCTAGCAACCTACCCAGTTAGCACAGGCCTCAAGGGCCAATTAGGGAGCCTCTTTGGCTCAATCAATGTTTCGGGCTTATGTTCCGAGGGGTGAGTAGGTGGAGCAGAGACTTGCAGGGCATATGTATGTTGTTACCATGCCAGATTTGTTGCTAGTGCCTTCTATGACGCCCCAAATCTACAATAAAGATGGTAGTCAAGAGAAAGTCACTAATGAGTCCTATGGCTAATGACCAAGTAAGATCTCAGATTGTCGGAGGAGTCAAATTAGCCTCCCTTCTAAGTCCAACTTTCTTAGGTAGCGCATTACCCCTTTGACAGATTTTAAAAGCCATTGACGTAAGGTCTCATAGGCAACGCGGGGAACTAAATTGGTTTTTAAAAAGGAAAGCATATAATAATAATAATAAGAGAATAGATACAGAATGTACTTAGTTACAAAAATTAGTTCCATCAATATTACATCCCAAAAATAAAAATTCCAAATGGACTATACAAAACACAAAAGAAAATATCTAACTTCTCTAAGACAGATAAAAGTCTTCGAAGGTTTCCGGCTCGTCGTCTTCTGCTGCAAGCTCCTCTTCGGCACCTGGCGTGATACGCCATGAGCTTTGAATGCCCAGTAAACGCACACACACTACGTCTCTTTTTCCTAATCTAATACACAATAGTAATTACAACAATAGGGGAAAAGAACATGGCATTCAAGTTGATAGCATAGGTTACAAGGTTAGTTGTTAGTAGTCTAGAAATCCCCCAAAGAGATTTCATCCTTCCAACTCCAAGAATCAGACACGGATTATTCGGTATGCCCTATCTTTTGTTGCTTTGCAGACTTTATCCCGGATGCCTACCAACAGTTACATACCGCGTAGCACCAACCGAGGACCTCAAAAGAGATGGTAAAATAGGGCCTTGCCCATTCCCTCCTCACACCAAACTACCTAAGGTCTAAATACAACCGCTCCGTTCAAGGGTTCCGAACAACCACTTGCATAAGACTTTAACTTTCTAAAAGGGAACATGTCCCACTAACCAATTCAATTTGAACATAACTTCATCTCATAATAATACTCATGTGATTGAAACCCCATTAGCCCCTTTCGTTTAGATTAACGTTTTTAAGTTAGTTAGTACAAGCAAGTAACAAGAATAAATTTGCAAAAGTGTAAGCATCATCGAAGGACTAAAATAAAAGATACATAACCATGACATGTGTAATATCATACCAAGACATGATCATATATTAATAAGCATATTCATGAACACAAGAGCATAAAATACCAATGCCAAACAGAATTTTCAGATTCAATACCCATTAAAGATTAAGATCAAAAGGATTATTTTAGATTTTTCCTGAACTCGGCCTTTCTATGGTTCGTGGAGAATTTAATCTAGACAAACTCACCTGTTTCCAATGCAACTCTTTGGCAATTCAAAACAAGAAGAACAACTGTATATCAATCTAATGCAAACTATAACAACAGATCCATATGAATTGCATCCTTCCTTTGCTTCACACGTAATCTGTATGAATACCAAAGTTACACCAACCAATGAAAAAATGCAAGAAAATGTATTCCATAGTTTGTTTCTAACTTTGATCACGAACCTACTATAATGGATCATGCAAAATGGAATATAGGATACATATATGAATATATCATAAATACTATGGGCTGATGGATAAGAAAATATTTATAAGAATAATGTTTTGTAGCTCGAAACTTTTCTCCCCGAATCCCCTGAATGCCCAAAACGACGTCGTTTAGGCATTTTCCTCTTCTTTTTTTTTTTTTTTTTTTTTTTTTTTTTTCCCTTCAATTTTCCAGTCTAAAACGCAGAGAGGAAGAGGGAGAGAAAGAGAGAAGAAGAGGGGAAGAGAGAAAGAGAAGAGAGGTTCGCCGATCGCTGATCGTCGCCCAGCCCGGTCGTCGTCGCAGCTCAGCTCCGTCGCAGCCCAGCCCCGCTGTCGCCTCTGCCCCCTGCCTTCGCCTCCGCTTCCGTCCCCCTCCTCTGCCTCCGCCTCTGCCTAAGCGGTGGTTGATGTTGGCCCCTCCTTTCCTTCTTCTTCCTTTTTCTTCTTTTCAAATTCGGGAGATTCGAGGGAGGGCTTTTTCGAGCTACCAATCAAGATTCATATTTATAAGGATAAAATTATTCATAAAAAATTTACATATGACAATGGGGATGTAGATTAAGTGGAGTTTTAAGAAGTTAGTAAAAAGTTGATTTTTTTGACTTTTTTTAACTTTTTGTGACTTTTTTTTTTTTTTTTGGTGTAAAAATGCTACGAAGCTAGCTTTTTAGTTTCTTCTCAAATTGTATCTAAATCTCTACAAAATATGATTTATTAGAATATAAGAGTATCTCACGAATTAATTGGAATACAAGTATATGAAAATGAAATTTTCTACTAAATTCTTAAAAAGTAAAATATAAAGTATAAGTTAAAAAAAATAAATAAAAACTCATAATTTGATTTGTTATAAGAATTAAACTTCATTTTTTTTTGTTTTTTTTTAAATTTTTTTTAATGGTTGTTTGGGAAATGACTATTTTAGTTATTTTTTAAACTTTTTACAGAAAAAATGTAAAAAAATGTAAAAAAATAGAAAGAATAATATAATTAGGTGTTTTAATTCTATAAATATTTTAGTCAAAAAACCAACATCTAAACGGAGACTAAGGAGAAAAATTAGTGCATCCCTTATATCCTAAAAATGAAACTATAAATAAAACTGCCCGTGAAATTAATAGGGAAAATTACAAATAAATGAGACAGTTACAAAATAATTACACTACAAATAAGAATATATTTTTGATACGACTCTTACACATAAAAAGAATTACACCAAACATATAAATAGATTTACACTATAGACATAGAAAAGATATGCCATCATAAAAATATAGGTTTCGTTTGATAGTTTTAAAATCATAATTTGAGTATAAATTTGTGTTTTAAATTTTGAATTATATTTTAAATTAATTTTTTTTTTTTTGGATTTTAATTATAAGTTTGGAAAAGAGTTCACTTAAATCCAATTTTCCCAAATTAATAACCCTGACTAGAAATTACAAAACCCTTGCCCCTTGTATCGTTAAAACCCTTCTCTCTGTGTCTGTATTTCTGAGGTGGGAACTGAGAACCCCACGCCATGGCGGCCTTGGAGTTCATACTATCTCAAGCTCGCCGCCATTGCTCGACAAAATCCTCTTCTTATCTCCGACTGCGACATTATTCAAAACCCAGAACCACCTCTCCTCCTCCTCGTCCTCCTCTTCCATTTCTGGAATTTAACAGATCACTCTGTTCTGAATCAGCACCAGCAGCAGAAGCAGAGAAGGAGGAGGCTCCTCGACCGAACGAACCCACAAGAAGACCCCCCAAACCCACATCATCAGCACCAATACAATCCGTTTCATACCCTGTCAAACCCAAATCGGAACAAGACCTGACATCACAGCCTCCTCGACGCGAACGAGACTATTCCGATAAACCAATAATAAATGCAGAAGAAGTTCGTGGGGCTGCTTGGACTCGGGAGGACATTCGGTACGTGAAAAACATACCCAAGCTATCTCCTGTCTCCTACCCTTCTCGGCTGGTGGCCCCTCTACCAGAAGACCGACTGGCGGAGGATGCTCCGGCTCCTTCAGATGAAGGACAGGTGAAGGAGGAACGAAACAAGGATGCGCAGTTGGATAGAGAGACGGTGCGAATTCAAGCCGATAATCGTAGGTTTAGGTGGGCTTTGAGGGGTGTTGAAGAGGAGAGGCTTCCTTTCCCCACACTTATCAAGCAACAACAACAAAACAAGGACAAGGTTATTTTTGATCTCCAGGAGGCTATTCGACTCGTCAAGGTCCTTTTCTCGCTCCTTTGTTTGCTTTCTAATTGTGTGTGTGTGTGTTTATGTCAATTAATAATATTAAATTTCAAGTGAAAAATTCTGGACCTTCTTCTATGTTTAATTGCCTGAAAATTAAATGGAAATACAATTTCTTCAAGAATATGCTTAGTGATAGAATTGTGTGTATTTTCAAATATTTTGACTGACATATGATTCAATTTCTAGTTTCATCTTGTATCCACAATAGTAAAGTCTCGTTTCATTAGCCGCTTGGGGATATCGGGGAGTAGAAGGACAGGCGAGGGACCAAATAATTTATGGTTTCATGTATCCTACGTCCATTTAAATGAGGATTTCGGTTGTGGAGATCTCTTATGTATTTTTTTTCCCCAGTAATTGGGGCCATTTCAATGAACAATTACAGAAAAGTCAGGAAAGATGTGATATGGTCATTCAAATTGGAAAGGGGAGGAATGCATTAAGTGTTGGAAGTTGGGAGGCTCAGAATGGGGATAAGTTCTTCCATGCAAGGTCATGTATTGTTATTTTGTTCCCATGTTAGAGAAAGTGGGGATTGGATTTTAGCTACCAAGAGGAGGTATGAAATGGTATAATGGGTGTTTTATTTACCCTTATGTTGATGAAAAATGAGGAGAATAGGAAGAGATATAAAATTAAAGTAGATTTGATTGTTGATGACATTTAAATGGTTGAGGCAGCCACTGGAATTAACAATTTATGAAGAGTTCAAAGTTTAAGGGTGTGGACAGGACGGGTATGATAAAGTACAATTTTTAACGACAAAGATTTTTACATTTTAGATTTAATTGATGTATTTAGCACCTAATATGAACATTGACTTTTTAGAAATTGTCTGTGATTCGAGGCTTTGGAATTTACTTTGGAATCCACTCGCTAAGGCTACTTACTACCTAGGAATCAAAGCCACTTTTCTTCCTTAATCCAATGCTTCCCGTGGTCATCAATTTTATGAGACCAGAGCAAGTTGGATATCAAAAAGCTTCTCGTCTTTATGACTCCCTTTGGAAGAGAACAAGCTGTCGGTATTTGAACGAGAATAGAAGATAAGGCATGTTAGTAAGTATAAATCTTCCTACAGGTGTGAGTAATCTTCCAACCCAACCTTCTATTTTCCTTCTCACTTTCGAAACTTGGAGTTTTTTTATTTTATTTTATTTTTAATTTTTATTTATTTTTTCAATTAATACACAATTACTCTAACCAAACTTGACTTACTTGGCAAGGGTCGTCTTATGGAAAACTTTGTGGGAGTATATTAGAGGCGAGTTAGGGGAAGGTAATGATTCCGTCAACTGGAGAATTATCATAGGATTGATGCTTTTGAGACTTGAGGTTTTCAATTTTTGGCTACATTTACTCATGAAGAACAAAGGATGGATCACAATCTCACCCAAGCCAGTTCCTGCCTAACATCTATTTATGGAAGTATACAACTGACTATACTCAATGTTGTGAGAAATTTTAAAGAAGGCAAGAGTTTTGAGTCTTTGGAAGGTGCTTCTCCTATCCACAATGCAAAACAACTTCTTTCTTGAGATACCAACAAATTGGATAGATTGCAGTATTTCTTCACACTTGCTTCTTATCCCCTTTATAATCCCCTTTTGAACGTCTCTTAAGAGTAGTAAGTCAGGAAATGCAAACCTTGCACAAAATGTTTTTTTTAAAGTGTGATAGAAATTGGTTATGAATGAAAAGACAACTTCAGTACTCACAACTAGTTTTACATAAATCATAGATTTTGGGGCTCATGGTCTTGTTATGTGTTCTAGTTTGATCCGTCACATTCATATATATCTTCTTGGGAGCAACTGACTGAACTAAGGCCCTGACTGTAGGAGGAACCTTGGTCTTTGTAATAAACTTGGCAGCAAGTCTAAAGGAAAAATCATTCTCAAACAAAAAGAAATTGGTCTTTCTAGAATGGAAAATTTTCACATGATCAAGGTCATGTATCCGAACTATTATGAAATTGAGATTGTAATAATTCTTCGTATATAATTAGCGTATAACTGTTATGATAAATACAAGCATAGAATTTCTAATGCTTTGCTTGCTTATTTTTAGAGAAGAAAAAAATAGTGAAAATAATGTACTATCCTACTTGTTCAGAATTGATGATAATGCGTCACACAATTGTCTCATATTTGTAGCCATATAGAAAGTAAGGATAAATAAGAAAATATAATAATACTAAAATCAGATTTCAACAATTAAACGAGCAAGTAAACTTACATAAAACACTGCATGAAAGGGAAAAATTCATGAGCAAGATAAACAGATTAGACTTGATATTGAATTGGAATTTTCATAGGACAGACTGAAAATTTTAAAATATATTGGCTATTGACTCTTAATTCTTAAAAGAATGGTTTTTCACACCATTATTTGAGTTCATGTATAATACAATATTTTTTCCGTCCCAAAATAATAGTTCTTTTTGGGGAATTCAACTTTTTTTGGTATTACGATTATTGCACTTAAATATTAATTTTTCGAAATTACCCTTTGATAGTACATTTTTTTGGGAATATCAATTGTCATAATTGTACTTTTTGTGTTATTAATGAATTTAAAAGAAGGGCAAAACATGAAATTCATATTATTTCAGTCTTTGATTTTTGAAAAGGGAATAATATTTTAGGACAATGAAAAATGGAATAAGAGACTAATATTTTGGGAAGGAGGGAGTATAAAAAATTATATATATATATATATATATATATATTTTAGGGCTAATTACATGGACCTCTGCTGAGGTTTCTAACAAGTACACGAATCTCCTCTTTGGTTTTTGAAATTACATTGACCTCCCTTACTTAAGCTAACAATATACACTAATCTCTCATGTGTTATGTAGCCATTAAAGGTGGTAAAGGAAATTGCTTATCTCACCAAATCTTTGTAACTAAATACCAAAATTGCCCTTATGTTTAAACCAAACACCCTAATTACGGATATCACGCCTTTCGGCGCACCCACATGGGATTTGGCTCTTTTGAAATATGTGAATTATCGAGATCTAAAATGGCAATATAAAACAATTTTCCCACAATTTGATTAGCCCACAAATTGCCAAAATAGACCGATTCACATAAAAAGGAGTCGCCACATTATTTTTTTGGGAAACTAGGAAACCCTAACTTCATGTTAATTTAGGCCACAAATTCGTCACAACCAAAAATCTTGATTTGGGAGTTTAGATATGAAAAGGGAAGGTCACTCACCAACATAGATATCCGCACCGTCGAAATACAAAACGGAATCTACTTTCTTTGTTTCACCCCAAAACCCATCCATGCCATAACAGTTAGTTAGTACTCCCAACTAACATTATCATGGGCCTTCTCAATATCTAGCTTACAGATCACACTTGGCCACTCTTGCCAAATACGAGAATCAACACACTCAGCCACCAAAACCGCATGCAGAATCTGGCGACTTCCCACAGAAGCATTTAGTGGCTCTGACACCACCAAACCCAGCACCACTCGAATCCTATTTGCCAACACTTTTTCCAGAGGCTTATAAACACTGCCCAACAAGCGTAGCTCAACTTCAGTGCCAATCTACAACTAGGAGTCCCATAAACAACATAGCTCCCCCACTGCACCCGCACCCTATCCAAGAATCCATTAGGCCGCTGATCCGACATTGGTGGTGGAAGATGACATTGAAGCATCCTAGCAAATGCTTGTCCCAACCTCCTGTCACCAGAAACAAATCAATCTGAGACAAAACCCGCCCCCTAACCATGCATAAGCTCCACCCTGCAACAGCAAATCCACCAAATGTAACTCATCAACCAGAGTAGAAAACGCTCGCATATTACCAGTCAATCGGCCACTGCCAGTCCTCTCCGCTGGCCATTGAACCACATTGAAATCTCTTTCCACACACCACGGAACATCCCATTGAAAGGCAACACTCTCCAACTCCTTTCGAAACAAACACCTTTCCAGACTCCGAACTGGCCTGCACACCCTTGTAAAACCCAATGGAAGCCATCCTCCACACATCTAAACAAGCACGACATTGAAAAATCACCCACCTCCTCCTCCATAACCACCACCCTATTATCCCAACACAAAAGAATCCCCCTTGCTGTCCTTGTAGCTGGAAGGTACAACCACTCAACAAACCTCCCCTCCCTTCCACTTATCCCCAAATCTCCCAAACCACCTCTCCTAAGAAGCTCAAGGAAGGTTAAATTTAAAGAAGCAATGATATTTGGACATTGGAATGATTTCAAAAAGAAATTGACAGGAAACATATATAATTATGTTTCTAGTATTATTAGAGTCCTATTTTATGATTATTTTTTATTTTCTAAGATTTTTAGGACGGAAGTAGTTTGGTAATTTTCATATGTATTGGCATGGACTGTAGGTGTCACCCATGGGTAATCTTGTGGGTCAAGTTACTTAATTGTATTTTTATTTATGTTTCTTATATGGTCTTAAATTGGTTTTCGAAATCAAAGATATTGTAGTAGTTTCATTTTTTGGTTCGAGTTGGTTTAGGCAGCCTCTAAAGTCTATATAAAGTTATGTAATGCTTCCAATTCAATGGAGTTAATATTTTATAGAATTTCAAGAGTTTTTAAAGCTTTTTATGGATTGTGTGATGCAATCAAACCTTACGTGTGATACCTAAGGAATTTTAGGAGTAATTCCTAGACCTATAATCTTCATTCTTCTTCTTTTCTATTTTAATTTACTATTCTCGGATTACTATTCACAGCCCTCTAAAAGTGCACTTTTCAACCTCAAAACCCTATCCAATCACCCCCAAATCAACCTTAATCCCTTCTTTTACTTGGTAGCTTTCAATTTAATCCTTAAAACCCTAAATTACTCATTGTTTAGGCTGTCAAATAATCTAACCGGGTCTAACCAAATCAAGCCTTAAGTCCCATCAAATGAGGTCTGCCACATGAATCCAGCGCTGTTCAACATCTGGGAGTCCTATCTTCACTTTGCCCTTTACTTCCTCTTCCTTGTAGCTTGCCAATCTCTTTAACAAGACTCATATTTCAGTTCACTTTCAAGGTTCTTACTTAACAAATTCTCGATGCTTACTGTTCTCACATCATGAGTTTGAGGAGGGTGAGAATTGTAGTTTCTCTCGGTTTTTGGAAGTTTTACTATTTCATATTTAGCTTAGGGGTACTTTTGTTACGTTTAGTCATTAGGTTCTTTTTTTTTTTTTTTGGCTGTGTTAATCAAACATTTATTGTAAGTTGTTGTGGGACTAATGTAATATGACTTCTCTCTCTTTCTAAGTTGTATATTTTTTTCACAATCTTAAATAGTCATATTTTAGCCTATATTTGATTATAAATTGGATGCCTGAATCTGAAACAGTAACATTGTTTATTGGTTAAAATTGAAAAGTCTGTATTGTTTTAATGAGATTATGATATTATCCTCATAAAATATCTTGGGTTTAAATGGATTTGAATTGTTGTCTGATTGAATACCTAGTTTTGAAAATGAATTTGACTACAATCAGATCTCATTAATTGGATTTGGTTTCAAAAGAAAGATCTTCTGGTGTTATCCAAGTGGAATTTATTTGGGGTGGACTCAATCTTAGTCCTAGCTGTTAACAAGCTTAGTTGCATTGAAATGGGCGACCATATATTACTTCATTGGTGATAGTTACTCTGCTGGTGATTTTTCTTTGCTTTCTGGAGTTTTCTTCCTTGCTAATTATTTGCATTCCTTCTAGTGTTTTTTCAGGTTAATGCCAAGGCTAATTTCAATGAAACTGTTGAAGTGCATGTAAATCTTGCTGCTGAACTACGTCGAACTGATCTGGTATTTGCTATCTGTAGAAACTATTGACTTATGTTGAGCTTCATTTTTTGTTTTTCTGCTTCAAATCGAGCATTATTCTGGCGTGGACATTGGTGTATAAGCTGGATTTCTTGTTTGTTTAGATCAAGTTGACATATTTGAAACATGTGAGCAAATATTGGAAATGTTTGGTAATGGTTCAACTTGAATAAAGATTGGTTAGTGTCAAGGAATGATGTCTAGTCTATACGGTAGATATTTTGCTTTGTATGGTTCCTATATTTTTTATTTGTTATGTTCAAACTTATCACACTGATAATACAAACTCGTTAAATTGATTTATGCATTAAAATCTAAGTTCTATTGGGTTGCACCCAGGTGTGTCGCCATTGACTGAAGGGGTGTTGATATAGCTCACTTCTAACTTTTCACTCACTTTGGTTTCATTTTCAGAATTTGTTGTTTGTTTGTTTTTTTGTTTCTTTTTTTCAAATTATAGAAACTATTTGGACGAAAATAAACACAACAAAGATATTTTCAAAAATTATTTTTGCCTCTAAGGAGAGAAAATCATATGAAAATGATTTGTTTTTATTTTTCATTTTATTGACCAAATTAACTTTTAGTTTTTTAGCAAAAAAAATAAAAAAATAAAATGCAAATAGATTTTGAAATCAAAACCTAGCAAGGCACTATTTTTAATTGGTAAATTACACATTTCACCCTCAAATTTTACTTTGGTTCTCATATTTTAATTGCAACAATTAAGTCCTCATATTTTAGGTTGTGTTTCAATGTGGTTCTCCTGTCACATGCCGTTAAAAATTTGGACATAAAAGTGCTCACTTAAACACTGCGAGAGCACATTTTAGGGGTGTTAGATGAAAAAAATTGTATGACAAATTGCACTTTTCACCCTCCAACTTTCACTCAAGGTTCACTTTGGTCCTTCATATTTCAGCTTTCACTCAAATTTCAAACATTGGGGTAAATGGACGACCACATTGAAACACAAGTTGAAATATGAGGCCTTAATTGTTGCACTAAAAAGATGAGGGACCAATGTAAGATTTGAGGGTGAAATTGTAATTTACCCATTTGTAATTTAGTCACTATGATTCATAGTTGTATGTTGGCACTAGTGTTGTCAAAATCGTACGATACATGATACGTATTGTATGATACGTATCGTATCGGATGGAAAAAGATATGTATCATGGACTCATATAGTTGGTGACTTGAATCGTGAGATACGTTTACGTATCATATGATTCCGTATTGTATCGCACGATTAATTAATTTTTACATTCTTCTTCACCTTTGGCCCCATTAGCTACTTTTCACACTATTAATCACCATAGCTAACACTCATTGAAGAGTCATGAACTACATTATCAAAACATCTCATACAAAGGAGACCCAAATTCAAATAAAATCACTAGAAAAAATGACTGCCATACTTCTTTTGCTACAAGAAATTAAATTACTATCATGAATCTAATTTGACCGAATTTATATATACCTTATTCACCAATTTGGTCATTAGTTATATGATTTAGTAGATTATTTTTTGCAATATATTTATATTTATATATTATATAAAAATACTTAATTTTTATCTATCTTTATATATGTTAATGTATCTTACGATACATGATATGATACAATATATGATACACAAAAGTGATACAATGATACACGATACGTATCATGATTCAACAACACTGGTTGACCACTGTCTAGAGGGGAACGTTTGATATAGCTCATTGCTAATTTTTCACTATTTTTACTTGGTTTCTAACTACTATTATTGGTAACGATGATTGCATATTCCAACTAATTTTTTTGCAATGGTGCTTATTTTATTTTATTTTATTTTTATTTATTTGGAGTGAAAAAATATTATGTTCCTTATTTTTTTTTTTTAGCCCGGAGTAAAAAAAAAATTAGTGGCAAAAAAAAAAAAAAAGTTCAAAAAAAAAAAGGTTAAAAAAAAAAAAAAAGAAGAAGA